TTTTCCTTCTGAAAATTCTGTAGGCCCTCTAATTCATATTTACCTTGGACTTAAAGAATTTGCCAGCCATTTTCCCCCTCCATATTAGTTGCTTCACTATCTTTAAAGACTTTCTTTGTTAATGAAAAGTATTAATAATATTAATAATTAACAGTAATAAATTTAATATTAATGACATTTTTTTTCTTTTCTTTTTCTGCCCTTTCCTATAAACACAGTCTTCACATGTCTTCTTGTCTAAGGTCTCATTTTAGGGTACTCTACTGATCTTTCTTATATTTGTACCAAGCACACCGCTCCTAGTTCCAATTGCCCGATGTTACCAATTTCCTTCTTATGTTCGTATATTATATAAAGGTGGCCTCTAAACTCTTGAGTTTATATCTTTCTGCACTGGTAATGATTTCTAATAACCAAAAGAGTCTCTTAAATCATTTTACAGTATTTTCTCCTAATCTATTTGCCACTTTATTTTCTACTTGATCTGGATTCATGGATCCAAGCTTTCTTATATTCTCTTGTTCCTTTACCTTCAAATAAGAGGCCACATGAACCAATGCTGTAGTCTGTACACTAATTCCTGAAAGGTACTGGAGAAAACTACACAGCTGTACAGATCACTAAAACATAGGTTTCTGGGCTCTCTCAGTTTACTGAATTAATCTTTATTTTAGTCAGCTATTTTGCTAACAAAGAGCTGTGGACTGAAATCCTCTTGTTTAAGTCGATTAGGAACTGGTGGGTGGGCCTTTGAATTTAAAAGTAAGATGGGCCCTGACTAAGTCTCCAGTTTGGAGGCTCATGTGTGAAACAATTGGATTCTAGAAAGTGGGTTCTCTTGTTTTGGTTGAGGGTTGCTTGTGGACTGGATGGTTGTTATTTATTTCATTAACAATCATGTGTGAGCTGATTGGTGTTAATTGTATTTGAGGCGAACATTCTTCTAAGCACTGGACTGTCAATTTGCTGAACTGAGGTAACTTGGGGTTGCCATGATGCTGAACCCTGTGCCACTAGTGTGTCACATGCCAAAATGGTGACCTGATTGATCTCCTAGCAGTCCATGGTATATTCAACACTCTTCTCCAGCATCACAACTCAAATGCATCAATTCTCTCTTTCTGTCATCCCTAGTCACTGTCCAACTCTCCGATGCATAGCGCGTAATTGCAAAGACTATAGCCTGGATCAGGCGCACTTTAGTCTCCAGCCTGACGTCGTTGCACTTCAGTACTCTTGAGAGGTCCCTCACAGCTGACTTTCCCAATGAAATTCGTCTCCTGATTTCCTGGCTACTGTTACCAAGTGTTGACTGTGGAACCAAGTAAACGAAAACTGTTAACTATCTCCGTCTCTTCGCTATCCATACTGATGCTGCCAATTGGCCCAGTGGTGAGAATCTTTGTTTTCTTGATATTGAGCTTCAATCCATATTGAAGGCTGTAGTCTTTGACCCTCTACAGCAAGTACTTCAGTACTCCTCTATTTCAGCAAGCAGAGTGTGTCATCTGCATAATGTAGGTTATTGATGAGACTTCCTCCAATCCTGATACCACATTCTTCCACATTTAGGTTAAAAAGGTATGGAGATAGGACACATCCATGGTATACACATTTCCTGATTTTAAACCATGCAGTGTTTTCTTGCTCTGTTCTAACAACTGCCTCTTGGTCCAAAGATATGTTTTGCATAAGCACAATCAGGTGTTCTAACTTAGGGTTATTTTTATCCTTAGTATCAGCTAAGGAAAAATAACAATGTGTAAGTAACATTTTATTTTCACTCAGAAAAAAATAAATTGGCATTGTGTTAAAATTGGCAGTGAGATTTTTGCAGAAGGATAGAATTGATAAATTGACATAAGAAAGTGACTTTCTAATCTTTCTTCTCTTAAAATCACATAATGCTTTCACAACACCTTTCACATATAATATTAAATTTATTTCCCACCACAACAAGATAAAGGTAAACAATCCAATTGAAAAATGGGAACAGGATATGAACACACATTTCACCAAAGAAGACATTCAGATCGCCAACAAGCACATGAAGAAATGTTCAAAATCCCTAGCTCTAAAAGAGATGCAAATCAAAACAACTATGAGATATCATTTCACCCCAGTCAAAATAGCAAAATTTAACAGAACAGCAAGCAACAAATGCTGGCGAGGTTGTGGAGAAACTGGAA